TTTTCGCGACTTGTGTCTTCTATGGGACATGTTCAGCGATTTTAAATATCCTGAAAAGCGACAAATATCAACTAAAAGAAACCTACTGTGTAAAAACACAGAGGCAAAGCCTAAAAAATGGTTAGAATTTGTAAAACAGCAGGGCAAAAGCAAAATACTTACCGAATGGTTTGAAGCACAAGGAAAAAAGACACCGAAGCATCATGGGACCACGAAATCTAGGTCCCAGGGCCTTGTAGATATACCCAGGCCCCTTTTATTGTTTCTTTAGGAGGGTTCGCCCTTCTGATGGCGTTAAAAAGTGGTTTGAAGCACTAACTGGGAAATTCCTACCATTTGTTATCTCATATATTTCGAACGGAGTCTGTGAAATATAATTGGCCGGACATATTCAAAATTTGGTGGACAATGACCGACAGTTATTTCCAGCCCTGTCCATAGAATTACTTGAACAGGGTTAAGAAGTCGAACATGCTCTTCAGTTGATTAATTGTTAACACTAGTTTGTCTCGTGTTAACAAGCTAGCTTGTCTTGTCAAGTAATCATCAGTTTAGCGAGATTAATCACAAACGTTTTTAGAATGTTGTCTTATTTGTCACGAACACGAAGTTGTAACTGCTAGCAAATGGTGCTACTGGCAAATTGGGGGTGTAAAATCGCACAAAAAAGAACACCAACCGCCGGTTAACGTCGGTGCCTAAAACGTTCTCTAATAGTTGTTGACCTTGGTTTTATCTTTAAGGAAACCTTTTATTGTGTGCTTATGATAAAAATTATATCTTCATTAGTAGATAGGCAAAAAAAAAAATAAACAAATATCATTTGAAATGGCTAAAATCAGTATAAAATTGAAGCCTGAATCACTAAATTTAGTTGTCAAAATGGCCTTCTTAAGGTCTACTGCAAAAGGAAACGAATTTCTGATCTAATCATTATGGCCATAAACACGGCGACAAAACAAAAGGCCATTTTAGAGTTCTTTTCTGTTCTGTTTCGAATGTGACGTCTTGCAGGTGCGAAACCTTTCGCGCGAAAACGAGTTTATTCCGGCACATGCTCGCTTTCGTACCAGCGGAACTCATTTTCACCTGTGTGGCGGCATATGCCTTTTACGAAACTGAGAGAAACTGCAACCTGGAAATAGAGACGTCAGTAATAATTTAAACTTTCACGGTAGAACTCCGCATTTATCAACATCACGTAGAGAAGTTCAGTTCTTGAGAAGACACTTTCTATATTTCCTGACAATTTGGTCATCACGAAGTCCAGGTCGTGGTTTTCATTCAGTTAACGTCTTCCCGAGCGGAACACACGAACAGTTGAATTACACCGACCGGCGCTGAGAAAATATGACGCTTATGAATCACATATTGATGTTATCTGACTTGATCACGAGAATTCAGTCAAGAGTGATGTAAGGACTGGAAAGCCAGTGAGTAGGGCCGTGTCATCAATTTTGTACCATACAAATCTAGTCGGTACCAATGTTCACCACAAACAAAATTTTCACGTCTAGTAAATATCTGTTTGCGTTCTCCTGAGACGATTTTCAATCCACCAAAATGACTTTTTAGTTCTAATTTAAATGAGATTCACAGTGACCTAATCTTGGATGAAAAAATTTCTGTTTCTATGTAGTTAAGATTCCACCATATCAAATCTGTTCGAAATACGGCTTAATAACTGGAACGATATTTTCTTTTACTATCAGAATATTCCCTTCGCTTCTAGATCTAAATAGACCTTGTTTCGTAATAAAAAGTATATCTTTTGTTCTAAGTAGAACACGCGCTTATGATGATGGTCACGGTTGACAGGAAATTTTCATTAATAACAAATGATTTAGGATCGAGACGGTGACTTAATCTTGACGTGCAATACTTTCTGTTTCCATTCGTAATTTCTACTTTATAAAGCCGCTCCGCAAGGCTAAGCCTGTCATAACGAAACACGAGAAGAGTTGAAACTAATCATGGTGTTGCTCAGCGTAACAACAGTATTCAAAGTCACCATTGCTTTGCTTGACAAAGGTCGACACTTGGCGGAAGAAAAGTTAAAAGATGGCGACGTCACCGACCAACAATTTCGTAACTTTATTGTGCGTGAAATCGATGACATCAAATCAAAGCTCGATGGAATATCACGAAAGGATTTGGTAGCCAGTATCAGTTTCTTCAAGGAGGGACTTGTGTACCTCTATAAAGTGCTGGATATAAAAAACGGCGACGAAGAAGGTACTACCACAAGGACGACGGCAAAAGGAGCGGTTGCCACGGAAGGAGAGAAAGTAGAGGTCATCTTACAATCATCAGAAGATTGTATGAAGACAGTCTTCCTTGCTAACGAAATGACAAACTTCATGATACAACTGACCGATCAAGATGTCCTGGCTACAAGGGCGCTCTCCGACGCAAAAGACAGGTTTAAAGATGCCCGCAGGAAAGCAACAGAAGCGTTCAGCAATGAAGCTCTGAATACGGCTGACCGCATCTTAGCGATGCAGTATCGTGTTATGGCGACATTACTAGAGAAAGTTGACAATCCAGCTGAAGCTCTAGCCGCGTGTAAATTGTGTCTTGAGGAGCTGCATTCGATGACAGTGGTCCAGAAGAGTTTCAGCGTTCAGCTTAAACAAGGCTTTAAGTCTTGGTTTCACAAGGTTGAACGAAAAGAGATAATTGGCTCTGTCTGCCGGATAAATCGAGTTATTTTTGATGTCAGGCGACTGGTTGGTCCTAGTGAAGGCGAAGAATTCTCCATCTGGCCTTGTATTGATATTGGAGGAGAGAAAGTTGATCCAGTGTGTGACCAAAGGTTGGTTGGCTCATCACACAAGCTCGGTATAGAGTATGTTTGTGTAGCACCATGGTCATTTGGCCAAGAGGGTGAAGAACAGCATAAGCTCAAGTCACCGCTTTGCATCGCCACTAACACAGAAGGCCAGTTTATTGTTGTAGACCACGGTGATCGCGACGTGAAAGTGTTCGACAAAAGCGGCCAGTACTTGACCTCCACCTGTCTTCCGATTAACGACACCAACAGGTTCATAATTCAAGGCATAACGACCGACCAGGAAGACAACATGTACTTACTGGTCAGCTGGTATTTCCAGAGAGAACTGGGAAGTCTCGTGTGCGTGTTTGATAAGCACGCCAAGCTCAATCACAAGTTTAACCTGAAGGGAGGGTGCCGCGGCTTTCTTATAACAGTGAACATCAATGGCAGAGTGATCGTAGCGGTGGAAAAATCGCAGCACATGCAAGTATACGACACGAAAGGACAGTTTGTACAGAGTTTCGGTGAAAAAATATTGAAACATCCTTGTGACATGACTTCTGCTAGTGATGGCTGTGTCATGGTTTTGGAACACGATTACTGTGTTCACATATTTAGTGCAAATGGCGACCACCTTTCTCGATTCACATTGAATGAATCCAAACCGCATCATCCTCGTTTTATAGCTTTCTTCCGGGCAACTGAGCATGCTCTCGTTTTGTCGGTGGAGTACAATCATGATTCTGGTGCAAAATACCCAAGAACGCTGCATGTTTACACCAAACATGGTCAGTGTGTTCGCAACATTCATCTGGATAAAGAATCCATGACAATTCGTATTGATTCACGAGGAATGACAGTCACTAATGACGGACGCTTGGCGATGTGTGTATTTGAGGAAAGTGTAAACAAATCCAAAGTGTATATTTTGTAACAGAAAAAAAAAAACATTCACACACATGCGACAAAAACTGTTGGACAAAGTTTGCTATATTTTCTTTTTCATTGAAGAGAAATCCACAATTTTTTTAACTTTTATGTAAATTTTGATACGTTATAGTGTTATGTATTCTCAAGCTATTTGTGTCGCGACAGGACGTCACATTTGACGCCCGAGGATATGGTTGATGAAACTGAAACAAGTGATTCATTCGTTTAATACGAATTTAATATGCATAGTTTACATATAGACATATTAATACCTGTATCCACGCACAGTGTAGTAAACTCTTAACGAAACAGTAAGATTATGTCAACAAAGTTTTGCGAGGAGCCAACGAAGCTATACTGAATTTCCAATAAACAGGTTATGGTATTTGATACTTTTCTTTCTGCAAGTATGGAGTGTTTACGGTCAGAACGGTTTTCACTCGAGTATCGAAAGTAATTTCATTCGCATTTGTTTTGGTCTGATAACATTCCCAATTACTAAACAAAGCGATTGACTCCAAAACCTCGCATCACTTTGCATCCAATTGCTATCAGAAGTAAAACCAAAACCTCGCTCGCACACGTTTTCCCGCGCTTCGGGCCAGCTATATATATTTTCTTTGAGTTTTGATTGGTTCAATGAATTGTCTGACTGTAATTGTGATTTGATTACCGAAGATTTTGGCTTTACGGTAATCAATCTAGAACTGGTCATATGTGGTGTAACACTATAGGGTGACTAGAGTGATAAAATAAATGTTACAGAACTTTTAAGGGACGATGATTGAGAATCTACAAGATGCGAAAGTTGGTCTAAAAATGCTGAGTTGTCTGCCGACAAGTCAGTAAAACACGGCTACTAACATATTGGTTAATTCTCCAAAGAGACGATGAAGACTGAGAGTTTATTTACCAAGCAGACCTTATTCCTTTGCGAACTGATCCCTCAAGTTATTTTTAGATCACTCCCAGCTTTAGAGATCCCAAAAGGACTTAGAAAAAGCCGACCCTGAAACGCAAATTTCACCCTCCTGAACAGTCCGAGTGGCTTTACGTGCATTTACAACTTTGAGAATAAAGCCTACATAAGAACAAACATGCAAGGAACACAAGCTTAATAAGTATACTTGAAGATTATTCATCATAAGAATTAAGAGCAGCTCTTTCGTCTTTTCTAAGCCCATTCGCGTAAACATACACGTATAATATCTGTACCTAAATGAAATTCAATTGAAATTAAAATAAAATGGTACCACAGTTGGGTTGGCAGTTCATCTTGTGTGGCCGTCTGGCTAAGGGTGTAGTTTTAAAAAGAACTGTTGTTGGTGACTGACGTTTTGATAACCTGAGCAGAAGTCACCTTCACTAAGAGCATCTGAGAGTCAAGTGAAAGTGTTTGACAGTCGATGTTGTTATAAGTCTGATCTTCTCGGGAAAACAAAAACGATAGGTGGCTCTCTTAGTAGAGTAAAGGTCAGTAAAATGAATAAATTTAGTTCCTGCTTTTCGAGAGTCCATTATTCCAATATTTGAATGCCTATTCAAGGCATTCGATTCGTAAAGGAGCAGCACAAATAAACGGCAAATGATAAACAGACGATATTGTCAAGATTACCATGACGATATTCCACGTCATCATCCATCACCATCGTTATCGACAACGTCATTGTCAGTGTTGTCACTACCACTATAATAGCTTGCAAGTACTCATTGTTAAGAAAACTGAACGAGAAGGAACGAAAGCGAGTTCTGCGGGAAAGGAAGATGCGTGAAGAAGTTGAATCAAGCTCTCATTTTCCTTCTGTTCCTGTAACTCCATGTATTCTCGCAAAGGAAAAGAAGTATTTCCATTGCCATCATAGACTTGGATATTTCACTCCCTTAATCCACAGTTTTCTTCAGTAGCGGTACGGCAGTTTGAGAAGACGAGTTTTTGTGAGACGATCTCTTTTTAGTTCGCATGTATGCTTTTCCTGATCTGAAGAGACCTCCACTGACATCACGTGGTTTCTTCCTTTGATCGTCCGTCGTGGACACCCAGTGATTGTAAACAAACGATAGCAGCAGCTTGCTCAGCGGCTTTTTTACTGCATTCCCTGAAGCGACACAATAATAACAGCGGTATTACTACGGACAAATAATTCAGAAAATCTCGCGTGTTCAGGATTAACCCACAATACAGACCAGCATTTGTATTCTGACCTCCAGAATATAATACAACAGAGGCGTTGTTTTGGAACTTAAAAGTATTATTTCATCTTTGAGATCATATCATACAGACTGATATGATAAAGTTACAACAAACATCCTGTCACATGTAACTTAAGTGCATTTGATGCACGACCCCAACGAACGCAGACAGAAAAAAACAACGAAACGAAAACAGCCAGATTTAAGCTTGAGAATCAGTTTTCATCAATCTCGTTCTAAAGCCTGCAAATGGTTAAACACTTGGTACAAGTTTAAGTGAGACTGAAGTCCTTTAACAAGTCATTCGTTTTGTTCATGTACATCGATCGACCCACCCATCAATTAAGAACACAGTCGAGCGAGGGATCGTCTGAGAAGACCCCAGAAGAAAACAATCCTTGTTACGTTGTAAAGAATAATAACTTGTTTCATTAAACAATTATAACAAGGATTCTGCAAAAGATGATAACAATGAATCACAGGAATCAGAAGTGTCGAGATTTAAATTTAAAAATCTAGATTATCAAAACTTCCTACCATTCTGTCGAAGAATATTTCTTGTCACCCACAAGTACAATACTCTTAAACCATCTGTCCTCCTCCCTTTCAATCTGGGGGAAAAAAGAGACAATTATCTCAACTTTTTTACGCAAAATATTTCTTCCACGTAATGCCACACAGAAGGAACTTTGAATAGGCTAGATATTACGTTAATTTAACTTACCATTTCGTAAGAGGGTTGCTTGATACCGTTGCGCCTGATGAGAAGAAGCAAAAGATGTATTTGATATCGGCGGAAACATAATTTTCTCTTACTTTGCTGGTGTTTAGAACAACTGGCAAACGCGCATGCATTAATTTAGCACGTCAAATACGTTCACATTACTATGTGTCTGTATTTGAAAAGAACTCCGCTTGTTTCATTGAGTGGAATCAATGAAAACAAAAAAAGAAAGAAAGAAAGAAGGAAACGAGAATATACATGTACTGTGCTTCTGTTTTGGGACAGAATTTCAATAGCACACTTGAAAACCTCAACCTCTGTTAAAAATGCAATTCACGCCACAAAAAAAATAGTTCAAATTTTTACCGTGTCCAATCCATAAGGACTGTTTTAGGCGTGACACCACTGGAGTAAATTTTTCTACAAAGAAACAAAAGCCAGATGTTAACAGGACCGTTTGGCATGTTGATACAAGTGTCGGGGATTGTGCGAACTGAAGAGGAATCCACAGCTCAGCTTTCCTACCATCATCTGGAAGTTGAAGCTGCTCATTGTACAGAATGGTTTTGTTCCAGTACCGTCATATTTAGTGATAAAAAAGGGCACGGGTGCTCAGAAATATCCGGCATCCAATTTTTGTTTCCGTTATAGAAGTGTAATAAGATTGTCATGAGAATCAAAAGAACATTGTTCTCAGCATTCTAAAGCACAGTTTGTTTCATGTGCACTAATAATATACTCGCAAAAAGTTCAGCATCCTGATTGGCTGAGAACAATTCAATGAATTCCAAACAATGAAAGATGAAATTTGTTGGTAAAAGTTGAAATTTAGAGCAGAAAATTGAAAAAAATTGTATTATATTATTATCAAGTAATCATGCAAATAGTTTTTGTCCACCAATTTGAGAACTAGTGTAATTTGAAAAGTTTACTTTTGCTCATTTATCTCAAATTGAACAAGAAAGAAGATCATTTGATTACTTAGACAAAGTTTAAAACAACTATTTTATGCTCAACAATTGCTTGCCTAGAAAAGTTTGTAGCCAAAATTATACCTGAGATATTTGACCCTCATTTCAGTAATTTCACTTAATGTATCTGACAATTTTCTTTTCTTGTTCTTCTCATTCTGCAGAAAAAAATAAAATAAAATGAGAATTACTCTTAAAACAGGAAACAGCATACACTGTTTAATCCTGAGACAATGATGTTTTGTGGCATCAATTTTTCACAATGTATTTTTTTTTCTTTCATAATGATTATGAACTGATGGCTAGAGTAATTTCTGTTTATCGCAAACATCTCACCTCATCTTTTTCAATGGTTTCCATTAACACTTTCCTCCTCTGAAGTACTGTTTCATAATAAGGGACAAGATTCCATATTTCACTGACACAGATAAGGTAAAAAAAAAGAAAACAAAAACCATTTATTCGACACGGGCCGTATTATTGAACAACACAACGTACAAGAGAAAGACACTGAAAAGAAAATGAGATACTCGGCCCTAGGTCCATTACTCGGCTGATGATTTAGTTATTAGCCGTTTCAGCTCTCCGCAACTTTTTCTTTCCAGATTCAAAAATTTCCCCGTCCACATGTAGCAAAAATATCCGGATTCGCTGCCGAATTCGCCGGATGCTGCGTGTGGACGGAAGCCGTATCCGGAAAGAAAACGTTGCGGATTCAAAAATGTCCGGATAGGTGTGGACGGGGCCTTACCAGATTTCTCGCATATCACTTGTGTGCAGCATCTGCCTTGCTTCTGTCGAGGTGGTGTCTTCATGCAACAGTCGTTGAAGACAGTATTTTGTATTTCCAAAGTTATTGTCAAAGTCCACAGCCTGGAGAAAGAAAC